AATAGAGCTAAAGGACATTGAAGATTCTCCTCCCCCAGTCCCATCACTGCTGAAAACTCATCCTCAGAGCAGTAATGCCGTCCTTTGATCTGGGGGTCCTGCAAGGGAAGCCTCTACACTGCAGAGTCCATGCAGCCCCAGCCCCACCATGGCACCAGGACACAGGGCACAGCTCAGCAGGAGTCCCAAGATCTGGAGTGTGGAGGTCTAGTCCCCATTTTCAGAATCCCTGGTTTACATACTCCACAAACACTGGCCAGACCAGTGTTTTCTATATTCCCTCGGATTATTATTATTATTATTATTTGAGGTGGAGTCTTGCTCTGTTGCCCAGGCTAGAGCGTAGTGGTGCAATCTTGGCTCACTGCAACCTCCGCCTCCTGGGTTCAAGTGATTCTCCTGCCTCAGCCTCCTGAGTAGCTGGGATTACAGTCATATGCCACCATGAGTGGCTAATTGTTTTCTGTTTGTTTGTTTGTTTGTTTAGTAGAGATGGGGTTTCATCATATTGGCCAGGCTGGTCTTAGACTCCTGACCTTGTGATCTACCCTCCTTGACCTCCCAAAGTGCTGGGATTATAGGTGTGAGCCACCATGCCTGACCCGCCTCAGATTTTTTTTAAAAACACCCCAGTTCAAAGAACATCATAGCAAAGCTGGGATTCCCACATCTACATGAGATTTCTGCCTCTTTTTTCATCCCATTTTATAAATCGTCTTTGTCAAGTTAAAAGCTTAATCAGCTGAAGCATCACCGGCTGGGCGTGGTGGCTCATGCCTGTAATCCCAACACCTTGGGAGGCCAAGGTAGGCAGATTACTAGGTCAAGAGATCGAGACCAGCCTGCCATCCTGGCTAACACGGTGAAACACCATCTCTACTAAAAATATAAGAAATTAGCTGAGTGTGGTGGTGCACTCCTGTAGTCTCAGCTATTCAGGAGGCTGAGGCAGGAGAATCACTTGAACCCAGGAGGTAGAGGTTGCAGTGAGTCAAGATCATGCCATTGTACTCCAGCCTGGGCTTTAGAGCAAGACTCTGTCTCAAAAAAAAAAAAAAAAAAAGCATCACCAACAATAACACTGGCCTTGAAGCGGTCTGTTCTCAATCATAGGTACATGAACCACCACTAACCAAGTGCTAATGATGTCCAAACTCTGTATTACAAGCTCTACAGGCATCATTTCATTAAGTCCCTGAACAGCTCTATCCACGGTCCCCACGTGACCAATGAAGAAATACATGGAAGCCCAGAGAGATTCAGCTAGTTGGCAGAGCTAGGTTCAAACTCAGCTCTTTCTCCCTGCCCCTCAAAGCCCAAAAGCCAAACCACTGTGATCTGTAGACTTCCCTCCAACAAAAGGTACACCACCAGGAAAAAGAAAAACCAGTCGCAGGAAGGATAGGGAGAGGTGGAAAAGGAAGAAGCAGCAGAGGGAAGGGAAGAAGGTGAGAAGAAGGAGAGAGTGGCATAAGGAGGAAAGGAAGCCAGGGTCTGGACAAGAAGCACATGGGATCTGCCTTCAGGTTCAGGAGTCCTTTTCCAGAATGGGGATGATGCAGGAGAGCTGCTGGTGACTGCCAGACAAACAAGCCACAAAATATGCAGAAGTCATTTCCTCCCTCAAGGAAGACAAACAATAGATTCATAAATAAACTGTACAAAGCTGTTCCGCTTTTTAAAGCCTTTTGGTAGCAACTCATATTCTTTGTGAGAATAAAGGTTGTCCCCGCCAAGGGCCAAGAGTTATCTTGGGGAGAGGGAAAATGGGGAGAGAGGAGAGGAGGAGGACATATTCTCTCCTAGTCTTTCACCTGCTAGGCCTATGGCTGTAGCCAGTACATACCCTCTCTGAGCTTCAGGTCACTCTTCTGTGAAGAAGAAATGCAAATTCCTGCCCAAAAAGACTATTGTGGAGAAGAAAAAGATACATTTTGGCAATACGGCAGGCCAGATACCTTACTTGACCCTCCTAATTCAGAGAACTAATATGCTGGGTACAATTTTAGATACAAAGACTGAATACACACTGCTGAGATAGTACAAATGAAAAGACCAAAACAAACCCAATGCAGGAACCTTGGGAGTGGGAGGTGAGCTGGCATCAAAGCTGGCTTTTGCTCTGAGGGCTTCTGCTGAAAGCTGGAAATTCTGTTTCCCAATGACAGCAGCACAGGATTAAAAGCCTAGAGAGACCCCTCCATAAAGCTGGGACTCCACGCCGCAGAATTCATGCCACTTGGTGAATGAGAAATAAACACACAACACAGAAAGAGACTGAAGGGAAACTTGACCTTGGGTTGAGCAGAATGGGGGTAAAAACTCTCTCCTGAAAATTTGTAACCATAGCTGGACTTCACACAGGTTTGTAGCCTGAATGATATTACTTGAGTAGCCAGAAAAGCCTTAATTAGAAAATTAATTTAAAGTGACTTTTGGTTGGTAGTACCCACCAGACAACTAGTAGAAGTAATGCAAATCCTCTCTGGAAAAACCAACTTCAACCCACACCTCAGATAATTCCCAAAGATAAAACGCCAAGAAAAAAAAAAATGAGCAATTCACGGGAAACAAGGCATTATGACTACTAGCTAGCAGAAACAAGTGGCAGAATCAGACCTGCAAAGACTTCAGATCTGGGAATTACCAGACACAAATTGTAAAATTTCTAAGTAGCAAATTCAATATTTTAAAGAAATAAACATTTTCAAATAGGAGCAAGAAATGAGAGACCAGAAAAATCACAAGCAGAACTTCTAGAAATGACAAAGAAAGCAAAAAGAAAAAATTCAATGATGGGTTAAACAGCATTTAAGACACAGAATAAATTAGTTAAATAGAAAATAGTTTTTTGTTTGTTTGGTTGGTTTTTGAGACAAAGTCTGGCTTTGTTGCCCTGCTGGAGTGCAGTGCCTCAATCTTGGCTCACTGCAATCTCTGGCTCCTGGGTTCAAGTGATTCTCTGGCCTCAGCCTCCAGAGTAACTGAGGTTACAGGTGCGCACCAACACACCTGGCTAATTTTTGTATTTTTAGTAAAGACAAGGTTTCACCATGTTGGCCAGGTTGGTCTCGAACTTCTGACCTCAAGTGACCTGCCAGCCTCGACCTCCCAAAGTGCTGGGATTGCAGGCATGAGCCACTTTCCCGGCCAGAAGATAGATTTGAATAAATTATTCAGAGTTCAGCACAGAGAGACAAAGAAATGAAAAATACAAAATAGGCTGAGCGCAGTGGCCCACGCCTGTAATGCCAGCACTTTGGGAGGCAGAGGCAGGTGGGTCACTTGAGGTTAGGAGCTGAGAGCAGCTTGGCAAACATGGCGAAACCCCATCTCTACTAAAAACACAAAAATTAGCTGGGCATGGTGGTGGGCACTTGTAGTCCCAGCTACTCAGGAGGCTGAGGCAGGAGAATTGCTTGAGCCCAGGAGATGCAGGTGTAGTGAGCAGATATTGTACCACTGTACTTCAGACTGGGAGATAGAGCAAGATTCTGTC